TTCACAAGAAAATAAATAGGGAGTTCATACAGGTTCACAACTCTAGGTCTCTTGTATATAAAACAATACAATATGAAAAATAGAAAATAAAATGCTTACTCTTAATATTTAAGGTACTCGTTGTAAGTTGTAACTTCAATAGAAATTCTTGCTTCCTTTAGTATTATCGTTATCACAGTAATAAAAATCGCGGGCTCTTCTAGGATCTCAACCAAAGGCCTCTTGGATGCATATAGCAGGACAGTAAACTAAATGTGCAGCCATTATAGGGTTTTTTTGGTTTTTCATAAATTAAAGTTCTAGTTGAGATCAAACATCTGAATGAATTTTAGTTTTCTTGTTGTTACAGATGAATTAAAAATGAAAAAAAGAAATGCCAACAACTTATGTTGGTAGTTGGGGGCTTGTCCGGAATCTCAATCTAAGTCCTTTTGAATGCATATAGTAAGATGGTAATCTAAATGTTGCAGCCATAATAGTGTTTTGTTTCTCATAAATTTAAAGTACTAGTTGGGGTCAAACATCAGATGAAATTTTTGTTTTCTTGGAGAGACAGGTAAGTCAAAAAAGAAAAAAGAAATGTCAACAACTTATTTTTGTAGTTGGGGGCTCATCCGGGATCTTAACCCAAGGCCTCTTGAATGCACATAGCAAGATAGTAAAACTAAATGTAGCAGCCATAACAGTGTTTTTTGTAGTAAATTTAAATTACTAATTGGGATCAAACATCTGAATGAATTTTAGTTTTCCAGGTGTTACATTCATTTATTCATTATCTTTTCAGCTTAGTTTCTTTATCCGGGATTGCCACAGCGGAATGAACCCCCAACTTATCCAGCACGTTTTTGCGCAGCGGATGCCCTTTCAGCTGCCTCCCATCTCTGGGAAACATCCACATACACTCTTTCACTCATACACTATGATAAATTTAGCCTACTCAATTCACCTGTACTGCATGTCTTTGGACTGTGGGGGAAACCGGAGCACCCGCAGGAAACCCACGAGAACGCAGGGAGAACATGCAAACTCTACACAGAAACACCGAGACTCAAACCAGTGACCTTCTTGCTGTGAGGCGACAACACTACCTACTGCGCCACTGCGTCGCCCTGGTGTTACAGATAAGTTAAAAAAGAAAGGAAGAAAGATTAACAACTAATTTTTGTAGTTGGGGGCTCGTCCGGGATCTCAACCCCAGGCCTCTTGAATGCATATAGCAGGATAGTAAACTAAATGTTTCAGCCCTCATAGTGTTTTTTTCTCATAAATTTAAAGTACTAGTTGGGATTAAACATCTGAAGGAATTTTAGTTTTCTTGGAGTTACTGGCAAGTTAAAAATGAAAGAAAGAAACAATGTAGCAGACAGCACTACCTACTGCGCCACTGCGTCGCCCTGGTGTTACAGAGAAGTCAAAAAAGAAACATCAACAACTTATTTTTGTAGTTGGGGACTCGTCCGAGATCTCAACCCAAGACCTCTTGAATGCATATAGCAAGATGGTAATCTAAATGTTAAAGCCTTAATTGTTCCTCATAAATTTTAAGTACTAGTTGGGATCAAATATCTGAAGGAATTTTAGTTTTCTTGGAGTTACAGGCAAGTTAAAAATGAAAGCAAGAAACAATGTAGCAGTCAAAATAAAGTGTTTGGTTGTAAATTTTAAGATAATGGTTGTCAGTACACTTTGTTACAATCAGGTCAATCAGGTACCACATCAAAGAAGTGTGATAGATTAACTCTTTAATCCACTGTATTATAAAATAAAAGTTCTGAACACGTTTTACAATGCAATTGTGTATAGGAAATATTAAAGTAAGCAGTCAAAACAAGTACTAGAACACTTGAACACTACCTCGCAGAGGCATATTCCACCCAAAGCCTTTTTCTCACGTCTCTGCTTCCATAATGTGGACAGGCATGACATTTTTTACTCTACATGATGCAATTTTAAAATAAAATGTGTGGAAAAGCCTAATAACAGAGTAGCTATCTTCAACAGCATTATTCACTGAACAGATAATAACATTCAGCATTAAAACAAATATAAAACTATGAAAAATGATATAACATTGCTCCCAATATTCAAGTCTTTAAACCACAAGGCTAGTTTTTCTTACGTTACCATGACGATGTGAATGAATGAACGAACACTTCCATGTAACAAATCTTTCATAAATTAAGGGCCCTTCCTGCTCCATTGAACAAGCATGGCAGTTTCTGGCATTGTTTTTGTTTTACATCCACATCATAAAACGTTTTAAGACGGCATATTCATGGGCATTTTCTTGTTTATTTTAGTTGTCCCTTTTCTCTCATTGAATCTGTAAATTCCTCTGAACAATCATAAAATAAAATAAAATTGCTCTGCTTCAGAAATCTGTCAACTTCTTGACAGGAAAAGAGGAAACTCCTGAGAGAAATGGAGGCACAAGAGGCAGAAGAACAGCTGATGCTAAAGATTTATGAACTGTTGTCATAAAATGAACCAAACGACAACCTAACATCTCAGGTTACCTAACGTTTCCCTGAGAGCCAATGAGATTCTGCATTGGTAGTTGCAATGCTATGGGAACACCTTGTGTGATTGCGTCATGAAGCATGCATCAAATCAGTTCAATAGTGTGGCCGAACATCACAATGTAACAAAGTATGTTGACCCGGAAGCTATAAAACATGCCAGAACCAAAGAATGTCAGCTTCTGATTGGCCTGAAGTAAGTCAATCACAGGCTGGCAGGAAGTATGTCAGGCCATCTCATTCACTCTCAGGAAACCACGTTTACAAATGTAACCAGAGACGATCCCTTTTAAGGGAGCTTGTACTGCGTTAGAAATTGCTACTCTATAGGAAATAGAATACCCATTCCACTGTACTGACCAATGCCTGTTTAGTGTGAATTGGAGTCACAGTTACACATAAGCACCTGGAACTCCAGAGTTCAGGTCCAGTTGGTAAAATCATAAGAATGTGTATGGGGTAGCCCAGGGTCACATACTTCTTGCAAGGACACACCTGACAGAAGAGCTTTAGAAGCTGCCAAACTCCTTGTAGAGTGTGTCCTGAAACTCAAAGATGACTTTTGTCAATAGGCCTCATAAGTAAACTGACATACACTCAACTATCCATTTGCTTAAGATTTCTCATAACTGCTCTAGGGTACTGAAAGGCTTTTACCATACCAAGTGCATAGTCAGAATAAGAGGTCTTGGTTTCCAGGACATGTAGGTCCCTCACTCTCTCGAGAGTAAGAAGATAGACTTGAGAGTAAGAAACTTTTATTCAACTGACTGTAATTGTTCAAAAAGAGCCACTGAAAGACCATTTGGGACTGTGGCTAGATACCTGGTACCTGATACCTGAACTTTCAACAAGCTAGCAGGCCTCAGCATTAAGGTGCCACAAGGGAAGCCACTTAATAAAAGGTTATGCCTATGGACTTATTACTCAGTGAATAGAATGAATGGTAATAACCTTGAAAAACTTGGTTGAAGTGATGATCACCTCCATTAAGAAATGAAAAATGTTCATCCTGTAGTATATCATTTCTTCATGGTGGGAGCTATAGAGAGGAGTATGTTCTGAACAACCTCAATTGAAAGACTAGAGTTTATGAATTGGGCACCCTTAGAAACTAACAGAATGTTCCTCCTGATGGGACTGTCACAAGGAGAGCTATCGGGGAGAGATAATACATCTGAGAACCTTAATTTGGCAATCACAAACAGAGCTACTAGCAGCTGACCTAGTCCCAGTAAACAGAGCAGAGCAGTTAGGCAGAAAGTTTTAAGTGCCACCTCACCTAAATGAGCTCTAAAACTTCTGGGTGGGGTCTTACAGTTTTTCTCAGTCGCTTTGGTGCATTTCTCACAACACCAGTACATTTCTGCAAAACAGTTAATGCATTTCTCAAAACAATTAGTACAAACGGCAAAACCTAGCTGATAACCTGCAAAAGTGCGTCACATGCTCAAAATGGATAGTTCATTCCTCAAAAGCAAGTATTCATGTCAATCAAAGCATCAGTATTATCAAAATTAAAAGTCCTGGCACCAATGTTTATGAACAAGATAGTCAAATGGCTTTGTAATGTTTTTATTTTGTCAGTTTACTCTGTACGTTTTTTCAATGCAAAAAAGTCATATTTTGGTGAAACTTCCTGAAAATGCTCAAGATAGTACTATATACTATTAGAACAGCCAATTGAAAACTACAGTAAAGTTAGACATCACTGCATTGAGTGAGTGTATCTGAGTACAAGACACTGAAAATGTATGTTTCACATTTTTTCTGCATTTTCTCTTTACAATTTGAATTTTTTCACAGCATTGTGCAGAAGAATAAATACACCCTTATTTACAACAAACATAAACTTTCTTTGGGTAGAGCTGTGCACAACTGTAAACAATAACTGTAAACAATATTGCAGAACATATTGGAACTGAACCAACTTACATACACAGGTCTGTAAATCATTCATGAAACTGTTCAATTTAGAAGACATTTTCAGTAAAATAAAAATGTAATTTTTTTTAAATAAAATTAGCCTGCAAGATTTTGACAACTAGTTTAACATTTTTGTATGTGATGACTCAAGTAACGAAATGAGGACTATTAGTTTTATATGGAATGACTATTCAGGATTCACAAGTTTAGTTCATTTTGACTGACATGACATAAGCAAATGATAATGTTATAAATAGCAGAGAGTTGCACGAAAGCAATTGATGCATGTCCAAAAGCATTTGCAATTTGCTGAAAGGAATGAGAAACTGCTACTAGGATGTGCACAAATGACTAATTGTTTTGAGAAGTGCATGACCTGTTGTGCAAATGTAAATAGTGTTGTGAGAAATGCACCAAAGCAACTGAGAAAAACTGTAATTCCTAGATCAGAGATGTCAAACTTAATTCCTGGACGGCCGCAGCCCTGCACAGTTTAGTGCTAACCCTGCTCCAACACATTTACCTGTAGGTTTCAAACAAGCCTGAATGACTCAATTAGTTTGATCAGGTGTGTTTAATTAGGGTTGGAACTAAACTGCAGGGCTGCGGCCCTCCAGAAAGTGAGTTTGACATCCCTGTCCTAGAGCCTCTGTCTTGGCATGAAGTATGCTACCTAGGACGAGCCTCTGAGGGCACTGAAGGAAAGCGGCCACCATAAGGTGAGGTATGGACTGTTTGCTCTCAGAAGAGTCAAAAGCCTGACACCACTGGAGCCAGAACTTTACTGAGGGAAGATTATTTCCTTGCTGCCTGTAGCCTTTAATCATAGATGTCTTTTCTGGGCTACCACAGAATGGTCAATGGTTCTAGCCATCTCCTTGATAACCTGGAGAGCAGGATCTGTGGCCTAATGCAGTTCTTTTATCACATCTGGGTCAACCCCCTAGACATTGTGATTTAGTACTTGTGCAACTGTTATAGGGAAACAAACACAATTCACAAAGTGCACTTGCCGAAGGTACAGAAGCTTCGTTTTGTTCAGGATTGCTTTATAGCTTCCTGCTCATGATCTCACACAATGCAGAGTCATGCTACAGTACATTGTGATGTCCTTCCACACCATCTTGGCTTCATAATGCAATTACTTAAAAGCATTAATATAGTGTTGCAACTACCTACACAGTGTAAATTCCCATAAAAGGGATCTGAATAAATGTAAAGCCATAAACAAACAGAGCAACATCATCAGTGACATCAGCAATTGGAATTGTAAATGTATAACACCCTGTTAAACTGGCAAAATAAAATACTGTTCTTGGTTAGTGAAACAGTTTGAAAAGATGATTAAAGAGTTTTTAGGCATAAAAAAACAAATGCAATTCAGTAAAAAAGAAAAACATTACACTTATAAACAAACAAAACATGACTGATTGCAATCTTACCTAAAAAAAACTTTCCCTGTCAAAACCCTTTCTAAAAGGATATATAGTCTTTAGCACATTGTTTGACTCGAGGGAAGCTACACAAGTGACCCGGCATGGTTTTGGGTGGGCACCATGACTGGCACTGCTCCCATGCGGGACAGAGTGGCATTGTTTATAGGCATGTTTAGGGGGCGCGGAGCCTGTGGCTGTGGCCCCTCAGTCCTTAATGTTGAGGAACCGTTTGGGTTGATTCCTCCGGGATTGTGATGGCGGTGGTGGTGGTGATGGTGGCGATGTGTGTGATTTGGTGTGCTGCTGGCATTATATCCAGGCAAGCCGTGCAGCGGGTTGGGCTCCCCTGGGCGGAGGCGGTAGGTGGTTGTACTGCCAGAGGTGGTGAGAATGGAGGCTGTATCCGAAGCACCAGGGGGGAATGGGTAATGGTTATTTTGCAGAGGATGGTTAGGGTCCCGTACAGGAGGGCTGGTGGCTATGGAGGACAGTGTGCCATTCTTTGAAATGATGTCTGAGCCTGTGCCACTTTTTGCCCAGGAAACACGTTTTGGGGCCTGGGCGTCTTCCCTAAAGCAAAGGAAAAAGATACTGTAATGAACACTTCAAAACAAGCAATGTGCAAACATTCGTTTAAAATTGGAAGATTCCGTTGGACAATATGACCTTAAATTGCTTACTGGTACAAGTGGTGACTGAAATATGGATGTGTACAGTCAAGCTTTTCATTGATCTTCAACAACTATCCTTTTACAGCACATTTATTTCGCAAACAGTTTCAAACATCATTTTCCTTTACAATAACCAAAACTAATATTCAGCATTAGTCACTTACTGTATGTTTCACACAATTGTCTGCAAATGAAATTTAAATTGAAAATAAAAATACTTTTGGAAAATGGATGAAATGTTCGCCTTTATTGCATTTCAAGAGATCACACTTAGCTGATGATTGATTCTAAAGCGTGTTTGGCATGTTGTCCCGGGAGAGAGCCCTGAGCTCATAGTATCCTCTAGCCTGGCATTCCCTCCCGTTTGTAAGGCGGGAGGGGAGTTTGAGCTCAGGTAGGTCTCGAGAACTCCCCCATTATTATATGGCTAATGGCAATTGGGAATAGCTGATTAAGAGCTCATCGATGGTGCTAATTTGGTTGGGTTAATTCACTTATGTCACATGTTTTGGACTGTGGGAGGAAACTGGAGAACTCGGGGGGGAAAACCCATGCGGTCACGGGGAGAACATGTTAACACACAGAAACGTCTACTGGCCAAGTAAGAACTTGTTTTTTTTTTTTCTAACCACTGGACTGATGTGCCGCCCTGTCATGGATAAGGAGGGGTTGTATGGGGGAATCTTCATGACGAAGATAACTAAAGTAAGAAACTCTGGTTATTTATAGTGAGTTAGCAATCATCTGATTGGTAGATCCGGCATTGCTAATGCAGGACCAGCTGTGGTCAGTCATAAGCACGTGGTCCTCTTAAAATAAGTTTATAAATAAACTTCACTTAGTTTGGTTTCTGGCTTGTTCCGCAGCTCAGAAATGCTGAAAAGAAAACATGCAGTCTTTCTGTCCTGCAGATTAGGTTTTTTTTTCTGGCCAAAGCTGTTACAGCTTAAAGCTAAACTGTTCCTGAAGCCAGTTTTTGCACAGACCACTTCCAAACCTTGATCTGAAGTCTCCTTTAAACCACTCCTTTTCTCTGGGTGAAGTGGTCCTGGCATAAAAACTATTCTGTTGTCAGCTCTCAGGCGCCTTTTATACCAAAGTCTGTCTACTGCCCATCCTTTTGACAGATCACACTAGGGTTGCCTGAGTCTTGAGTTGAACGTGTTCTGCCAGTAAACATTGCCTAATACTATTGATTTACTGTTAGAACACTGGATAATTATTAGACAATTATCCAGTGTTCTAACAGCAAATCAAGAGTACACACTGTAAAAATGCCCCTTATAATCAGTTTGTGTCGGGACAACATGAAGGACTTAAGTTAACATTATTTTATTTTTATTTTTTTTACAAATTTAAGTAGATTAAACATAAAACAATGAAGTTGTTGACTAAGGATTGTGTTGTTTCAGCCTATTTTGCAGCAAATGTCTTTTTTTAGTGTAGGTGATTACTGGCTAAACACGTTCAACCAAATGATTGGATAAAAAGTGTCACTAAAATAACAACTAAAATTCTGAACTATGTCCACATGATTTCCTACTGATTTCCTATGCATTTTGCTGATCATTTAGCATTTGCGTCGTTGTAAAATTTTAAAGACCTTCATGGATGAGTGATGAACGATTGCATACCGGGCTCTAATTGTGTGGACACTTATACACCCTTCAACATGGCGTGGTACAAAACAAGGCACGATTGGATGATTAACCTGTCAATCATATCGACAGCATTGTGGGTGGTCCTTTGCCATTTAAATCATCCAAAGTTCCCAGAAGTTCCCCATTGGTGGATGGGGATGATTGTGAGATCTTAATAGGTAAGGGCCGATGAAGAGAATTTGGCAAGGACATCGAAGTTACACCCCTACTCTTTACGAGAAGTGTCATGGGATTTTTAACGACCACAGAGAGTCAGGACATCGCTTTAACGTCTTATCCGAAAGACGGGGCTCACTAACAGTATGTTGTCCCCTTCACTATACTGGGGCTTTAGGACTCACACGGACCACAGGTTGAGCGCCCCCTGCTGGCTTCACTAACACTACTTCCAACAGCAATCTACTTTTCCCATGTGGCCTCCCATCCAGGTACTGACCAGGCTCAGCCCTACTTAGATTCAGGGAGTAACCAGTCTTGGGCAGCAGGGTGATGTGGCATGTAAGTTGGAAGGGTCTTAATAAAATTTAAACACACAACACATTTGAACACAAGGTAATACCAGGTTTAAATAGTACCACTGGGCTGTACCACTGAATATGTTAATACCAGGTGGAATCGGTGCTTATGATGACATATAAGGTAGGTGCTCACTTGATATCATTGGCCATCTCCTCCTCAGTGTCCCGGTTTCTCCTCAGGATAAATATCAGGAATAAGACCAGAGCCATCAGACCCACCACTGATCCCACCGTGGCCCCAGCAATGACCCATGCATTATTAGCTGCAGTCACATTAGGGACAAATTAATGACCAATATAGAGAATGCAGAAACCTCTGACATAAAATCAGCCTTTGTGAGGGTTACTTACGTGTGGAGACCTCGAGATTGATATGGCAGCTGTCTGTTCCAGCTGTGTTACTGGCACGGCAAACATATTTGCCGGACATGCTTTTGGTGAGGTTGCTAAGCCGAAGGGTTCCTTGCCTCTCATCTGGAACAACAGAATCCAGCATTGATATAGTCTTCAGTTAACATCAATTAGGTCAGGGGTGCTCAACCCTCTTCCTGGAGATCTGCCTTCCTACAGAGTTCAGCTCCAACCCTGATGAACAACACCTGAAGCAGCACATGATAATTACAGGCAGGTGTGTTTGTTATGGGTTGCAACTGAAATTTGCAGGAAGGTAGATCTCCAGGAACCGGGTTGAGCAGCCCTGAATTAAGTCCCTACAATAAATTCCACCATTCTAGATCTATGTTTTGACTGATACTAAAGTGCAGGGGACTTTTGATTCTACATCTGTGGGTGTTTCATCTAGAATTAGGACTTTTAGGAAAAACACAATTCACACAATTACTATGTTTATTAATGTTTTATGCGATATACACATGAGTAGACATGCTACATGTATTAGGTGTTCAATGTGTGAGCATTTGTACTTTTTCTTTTGCAAAACAATAAAGTGAAAGCTGTAATATTAGGAAATATTATAAGAATATAATATAGCATTTTTGTTTTAACATCCTTTAAAACTAAATATGATTCCTGTGATTCAAAGCTGAAAATGTTGCATGATTACTCCATTCTTCAGAGTCATGTGATCTTTCAGAAAGCATAATAATATGCTGATTTGGCACTCAAGGAAAGTGTTATTAGCATGTTCAGTTGTGTAAAGTAATTAATTACTATTTACAAATGCTCAAATTAATGTAATTATGTGGTTTTTCTTTACTAAGTAGTTAGAAAATTGTGCAGTTTTAATTGTTTACATTTTTAGTGCTGCACAGCATCTGTATTTTTATTCCGCAATTTTCTTTCAACCCCCAGTCATTACCTTTATATATTTATTTTTTGTTTGACTCAAATCGTGCATAAAAAAAAATCGCATCAGACAGACCTTAAGACTTGGACGCATTATGAATGCAGCAAACATGTTCAGAGTGGAAGCATTAAAACCGTCCAAGAAGACACAAATGTGTTACATGCAATGAGCAAGACACTGTGAAGGCTGATTTATACTTCTGTTTCAAGCTGCGTATGCTCCAGCACAGCCTATGCTTGGTCGCAGAGCCCTCACAGTGGCCCTCAGCAATGCAGACGTGCACATTTCAAAAAATGTAACATCACGTCGCAACAACACAGCTCTGTGATTGGTCATCTTTGTAGCGCTGACGATTGTGGGCGGGACCGAGAGCCCGAGTGCTTACAATTGTGGAGTCTTGTGAAGGAGCTCTAGATGGAAATTGTTGTTTTGTGTTTACCCAGCATGATCTCACGAGAAAACGTAAGTATTTTACGTTTTGCCAGTTTAGTGGCTAATTCGTACGAATTCGTACGAGTTCAGTCGTACGAAATGGTACGATTTTAAAAAGGAGGCATGGCACCTGACCCCACCCCTAACCCCAACCGTCATTGGGGGATAAGCAAATCGTACTAAATTGTACAAATTAGATCGTACGAATTCATACGAATTAGCCACTAAATGAAAAAGTTACGAATTGCCGTGAGATTGTGTTGGTTTACCTTATGATTAAAGTTGTTGCACGTCTGCCGATTCCTGCTCCAAAATGAGCGAGTTTGAGCCATTTGTACATTAAGGTAGCGCTCAGAAAAAACAAAACACCAGTGAAGAAATTCGACACAGAGAAACATAAACACTGCCAGCTAGTGTTTCTGAAGTGTTATTGCAGAGGAACACAAACAGTGCACAGAAGTATAAATGCATGGCTACGTGCATTGAATGCACTGTGGGTCACACCAATCACTTGATGCAGATGTATAAACCAGGCTTTAATCATACACGTCACTGTTGAGAAGATGAAGGATGCACTGTGATGACTGAAATTGCAAAATAATGACTAAATGCACTACAGAATGTAACGTTTTCAAATACAGTGTTGGACAAGCTTAGTTTGTGACGCCAATAAATTAATTTCATATTTAAATAAAAAAAATTTTATTGTCTATAAATGGCAAATCATTTCATCTATACTTTGCGACACCCTTAAATGAAAGTGCAACTGATTTAAAGCAAAAAATGTTAAATTTGCACGGTATAAAGTGAAATAATTTTCACAGCGAATTAATCACTACTCGAATACTTTAACAAGGCCAACGTCTTACTTTGAGTAGTATTTAGAACAGACACATTTAATTGCATTAATTTTTTGGGCAACTAATTTACTTTTACTTCAGTTTGATTTTCTACCAATGAAATTTTTGAAGAGGTGTGATTTTATAAGGCGAAACACTACTATATAATTTGTGGAAAATAGTAGTTATTTAAATATAATAAGAAAAATTGACCTAAACTAAAATTGCATCAAATGTATTTGAAAATGAAATGATACATTATGAAATAATTAAAACAATTTAAATAGTTTCAAATACAAAAAAAAAAAAAAAACACACAGGAGTTCCAAAAAAAGTTTTTAGGCTGTTTGGACAGAACTGTATGTATAGTGTCAACTATCATATTGGAGTGATATAAACCCAACAAGTTTCTTTTTAAAAATATACTGACGTTAAAATAGGACCCAAATCCCAGTGATTTTGAGGCCCACTACAAAGTGATGTTAGAGTGCAGTTTCCCCGCCCACTGAATTGATTCACAGTCACCATATTTCTATGATAACATGTACATATGTCCACAGAACATTTTTGCAAAGAAACTGGGGTTAAACATATGTTACAAGTCTCTGTGATTTTTATAAGTTTAAAACGTTTTTAAAACAGATCATGTTTATAATAAAAAGTTAAATCATTATATAATTCCTAACCGCTATAATCGCTTGGGGTCAGTAAATGCTAATGTGTGTGTACCGCAAACGGCATTTGTGTGGGACTCATCATTTCAGAAAGGCTTTAATAAACTCCACCACAAATACATGAAATAAACTTACTTGGTATTTTTGACTAATGAGCTGTATTTCCGCTTCATCCGAGTCTGTCTATATCACTAAATGCTGTTTATCTGATGTAACGCATGATGAGAAGCAGACTTGCATGTGGGAATGGTGGACGGGAAGAAGCAGCTCATTTGCAATTAAAGCCACAGGCTACAAAAACAGCTACAATATACCCAGACACCAAAATGGGCAGATTCTGGAGCCTATAATAAGTTCTCTGATAGGTATTTTGAGCTGAAACTTTACAAACACTGGAGACACTCTTATAACAAGGGGTAAAATAGGTGCCTTTTAAGGAAGTCGACACATATACACTGGGAAAAAAAGTGTTGAACACATCATGTTTTTTTTTTTTTACTTGGGTAAAAACTAGGGATGTAACGGTATTGTAAATACCGTCATACCGCAATATTAATTTTTTTCGATATTACCGAAGTCACATGACTCGGTAAAACTATAGGTCTTCTGAGAAAATTTGCTCAGGCGAATGAAGCGAACGGGAGGTAGCTTAAACTACATTTCCCATCAGCCCAGGCGTGACCATAATCCTTTGCGGTCTGTTGTCGCTACAGATCCAGTAATGCGGAAATGGAGTGTGCTGCTAGTAGCGGAGATGAAAAAAAGATGGAAATGATCGAACCTAAAGCGGGTGTTGTCGCCGCGTGCGTACTGAATAGCAGTGTTGTCGCGCGCGTTCTGATCAGCTGTGTTGTTGCGCGCGTATTGTAAAGCGCCGAGGGGGGGGTTGAGCGCGCATACTCAAGAGCAGTGTTGTCTACTGAAGGGCTGGACGGAGGTTGTGTCGCGTCGCGGGGGCACTTTTGATCGTTTTGGAAGGGCACTTTCTATCCAAGACTAAAAAGGGCATGTGCACTGCACAGGTTGAGCCCTATGTGTGCACGTGCCTGCAAGTTGGGGAATACGACTAATAGCAGTCATGGGGACTGCAGAAACACAGTAAACTGTTCAGATTGATGCAGACATTGACTTGTACCGCAAAGAAACCTCTATCTCACTCATGGTTTGTCTTCTCAAGTGGGGGAAAGACAATGCACAATGTTACCCACTGCTGTCAACCTGGGCCAAGTCATATCTCTGTCCCAGAATCCTCAGTCCCAAATGAGAGGGTTTTTTTCTGTTGCAGGGGACATTGTAAATGCCCAGAGATACCAGCTTTTACCAGATTATAGTTATATGATAATTTTCCTTTAAACCCATCTCTATCTAAGTAAGTGAGTGAGTGATTAAATGTTGAATGTGATGAGTTTTCAACAATACTAAATTGAAACTTTATTTTTTTACATGGTTTAATAATTTTTTGTTATTAAAATTGAAGTTCCTGTTTCAAAGCTTACAGATAGATGGCTAATTTGTATGTCATTGACACTTTTGGCACTTTTTTGGAGTATTTTCAAAAGTTTTGTTTTTCCTGTAAATGATTCAATAAATACCGTACCGTGACATTCATACCGAGGTATTACCGTACCGTGAAATTCTGATACCGTTACATCCCTAGTAAAAACACAAACTGTACAAACACTAAAATAAAAAACCTAAACATAAAAAATCTGAAAAATGAGTTGTGTAATAACAATGGAATGACACAAGGAGAAAGTACTGAACTACTGAAATGTATTTAATACTTTATATACAAGGCTTTTTTATATGGCAGCTTAAAGACGCCTCTTATATGAAGAATGAAGTGTGAGTTTTTCACAGACTTCAACAGAGTGTAAAAATCTTGATGGTTCTGTGGGTCTTGTCTATCAAATCTTATCTTTATTTTGTATTTTAATTGGATTCAGGTCAGGTGATTGGCTGGGCCATTCTACAGCTTGATTTTCTTTCTCTGAAAGCATTTGAGAGTTTCCTTGGCTGTGTTTTGGATCATTGTCTTGCTGAAATGTCCACTCTGGTTTCATTTTTTATTATCCTGATAATGTAGACGTTAGACTGAAGCAGCTAATATTAATTTACAATTACAACGTAGGGCAGAGGGTTGCTGAAGAACTACTGAGAGATTTCAGCTGCTGTCTGGGCTTTCATCGACTTTCCACACCTCCCTTTTTTTATGTGTTCAAT